TCCTGGCTCGGCTCTGGCCAGAATTCGAATCGGTCCGCTCCACTCTTTTGAATTGTGATAGCTTCAAGCTGGAGCATGTTCTTGGTGTTCTGATCTGAGAAGAAACGAGGCTTCGCACGCAGGCTGCGCTTGATGCTCGCCCCGGCAATGGCGAGAGTGTTGGGATCTTTGTTGCTACTCAAGACTGCTCGTTTGTGCCGCCCCAGTCTACGCACAACACCTCCACTCGTGCCATGTCTTCGGCAAGTAATTTTGCTTCTTCTGGCCACACTAATGATCAAGCTTTTGCGGCATATAGGGCTCTCACTTTGCGTCGTGAGGTGGAGTGTCATCATTGCCATGAGAAGGGCCATACATAGAAGTATTGTCGTCGTCGCAACTTCTGCGTTTACTGCAATAAATCCGACCACATTATCCCGGATTGTCGCCTGCTTCAGCAACGAATGAATTGTGTCGCTCCCAACAGCAACTCTGGCAACTCTAATCCTTCTCATGCGGTTGGGTCCTCTCGTCCAGTATATGCGACTAAAGAAACCCCAAGTACTGATGGCATCATGGTCACTCCCGAGGCTCTCAAACAACTTATCAATAAGGCTACCAACTCCGCCTTTGCCAGTCTTCAAACATCCGGCAAGGCTCCTTGTTAGATTTTAGACTCGGGTTGTTTTAATCATATGACCAATCAAGCATCTTTATTATCTGATATTCGCCGGTTGAGAATTTGTCTTTGCAAGTGGCAAAATGGAACTCGCTTAACTGTTTCAGGGAAGGGATTGATTAAGGACTCTAATGTTTCTTTAACCAATACGTTATATGTTCCAAAAGTAGTGCCTAGTTTGGTTTCCGTTGGGCAACTTACTGATCAAGGTTGTTGGGTTGTGTTTGCACCTTCTAGGTGTTCTGTTTAGGATCAGACGACAGGGCGGGAGATAGGTAGGAGCAGAAAGCATGGGCGCATATTCCACCTTGACCGGCTTGTCACTCCATCATCATCAGATTCCCCTGGTTCCTTTTTGGTGTCTAGGACTTCTTCTATTCTTGATATTTTGAGTCTCCTTGATAAAGCTTTTTCGTTGTGGCATGCTCGGATGGATCATCCAAATTCTAGTCGACTTATGACCATGTTTAATCAATAGTTGTTTGGTGAAAAGAATAAAGTGACACGGTCGGATTTTTTGTGTACCAGTTGTGTTGAGGCAAAGACTACACATATTTCTTTTCCGTCTAGTTTCTGAACCTTTCCATATGATCCATACCGATCTTTGGGGTCCTAGTCCGATTACGTCATAGCCAGGATTCAAATATTTTGATCTTTCCGTAGATCATGCCACTCGATATACATGGGTCTATTTTCTTCGTTTGAAATATGATCTTCTTTCCGTTGCCACCGATTTTCTCAAAATAATCCAGACTCAATTCGGCCGCATTGTTCATGTTGTCATATCCGACCCAGGGGGAATTTAGCTCGAATCCTCTTCTTGAGCTATATTCATCCCTTGGCATTCTTACTCAAAAGTCCTGTCAGGGTGTTTCCCAACAAAATGGTCTTGTTGAACGTAAAAATCGTCATGTTGTCGAAGTTACTCGAGCTCTTCCATTAGCTTCTCATGTTCCATCATCCTTCTGGTCTGAAACCGTGTCTACCGTTGTGCGTCTCATTAACTACCAGATCACTCATGTCCTTAGTCAGTTCAGTCCTTACTATAAACTGTTTGGTAAACATCCTCCGTATTTCCGTCTCCGAGTCTTTGGGTGCTTTTGTTTTGTTCTTCTTTCTCATTTTGAACGTACCAAGTTAACTTTGAAAACCGCTTGTTGTGTCTTCCTAGGCTATAGTGACGTTCATAAAGGGTACATTTGCTATGATCCCTCTCTTCGACATCCTAGGATTGCTTTCAACGTCGTTTTCTTTCAAAACTTGATGTTCTACTCTACTTCCTCCGAGTCCACCCCTCTGTTTGCGTCTTCACTCACTCTTCCCTCGTTCCCTGATGATGATGATGAGGTTGATGATGCTGCCCTATTACCCCCGCTGCCCCCTCGTCGTCTGGTGATTCTTTCTCGAATGATGACGATGGCTCTCCTTCCCCGCCACTTGCGCCGGCTCCACCTCGCCGCTCTACTCGCTCCAACTTTGGCCAGCCTCCAGCATCTCATCGTGACTATTTATCTTACCAGGTTGATCCTATTGTGATCCCCACTCGCTAATCCCAGGCGAAAGGGCATCCTCACTGGGACAAGGCGATGGATGATGAATTTTCAGCTCTTCACGCCCAGAATACTTGGGTTCTTGTGCCTCGTCCTCCTCCTAAGGTTTTAGTGGTTGGCAGCCGATGGGTTTACAATATCAAGGTCAATCCGGATGGTTCTATCAAGCGATATCAGGCTTGTGTTGTTGCACAGGGATATACACAGGAGTTTGGTGTCGACTTTGATGAATCTTTCGCCCCTGTTGCAAAGATGCTCATTGTTCGGGCTCTCTTAGCTGTTGTGGCTATGCATCACTGGCCTCTTTACCAGTTGGATGTGAAGAACGCTTTTCTGCATGACGATTTTAAGAAAACTATCTATATGGAGCGTCCGCCTGGCTATCCTCTTGGTACTCCTGATTAGGTTTTCCTTCTGCAGTGTTCGTTATATGGCTTGAAACAAGCGCCTCGGGCCTGGTTCTATAAATTTCAGACGGCGATCTTGGGTATGAGATTTCAACAGAGTTGCAACGATCATTCTCTATTTACTCAGTATACATCTCAGGGTATGGTGGTTCTTCTCTTGTACGTTGACGACATGATTATTTTTGGTGATGATGAGGTCGGGATTCCTGCTCTTACAAAGGGTCTACACGAGTCCTTCCCCCTTAAGGAGCTCGGTTCCCTCTCTTACTATTTGGGTCTTGAGGTTACTCGTTCTTCGGCAGGTATTCTTCTCAATCAGACCAAATACATTGATGATTTACTTGATCCAGCTCGATACAATGACCGTGTACATGTTTCTATTCCTATGGAGCTCAACCTCAAGTTGGGCAAAGAGACTGGCAAGTAGGGCTGGCTATTTGGACAGGGACCAGATGAAAAACCGGAAACCGGACCGAGACCGGACCGGGACCGGATAGTAAACAATACAATCCAATCTTTGGGTTTAGATTTGAGGTAAAAAACCGGATAAAGACCGGATAAGAGAGCTCAACACCCAAAACTTAAGGGTAATTTGCATAAACGGTCACAAACCTTTACACTTAGTACAAAACTTAACCAACTCCTCACCCTTTTAGTCCTTAGGCCACTCAAATTCCCACAATCTCAATATAAAATCAAGACCGAATTGGGACCGGACCGGGTCAAGACCGGACTGTATCCAATCCAATCTTCGGTCCTTATATTCTCAAAAAAACCGGACTGGACCGGATCAATTTGGACCAATTTAACCGGACCGGACCGTATAGCCACCCCTACTGGCAAGTTGTTACCTGATGGGGGGAAGCAGTATAGACATCTTGTTAGGAGTTTGATTTATCTGGCCTCTACGCGACCTGACATTGCATATGCGGTGCAAATCGTCAGTTAGTTCATGTGTACACCGAGGACAGCTCACCTGGACAGTTCATAGGATCATCCGTTATCTTAAGGGCACTCATGAGGTTGGTCTATTTTTTTCCTTCTGCTGGGTCAACAGTTCTTCAGGCATTCTCTGATTCGGACTATGCAGGGTGTATTGACACCCGTTGTTCCACTACTGGTGGTGTATTCGTCTTGGTAATTATGTTATTACCTGGTGGTGCAAGAAACAAGATCGCGTTTCTAAATCTTCCACTGAGGCGGAATAACGTGCAATGTCGGACGTGACTTCTGAGCTGGAATGGTTGAAGCGTCTCTTGGCAAATCTTGGTGTTCAATGTACTTCACCGCTGGAGCCGTATGTTGATAATACTAGTGCGAACCGCATTGCCACCAATCTAGTTCTTCATGATCGCACTAAACACATCGACGTCCATGTTCATTATATTCGAGATCTTGTCAAGGATGAGACTATTTTCATCTACTACATTGCTTCGGAGGATCAACCAACCGATTTATTCACGAAGACTTTTACTGCCAGTCGTCATTCTTTTCTCTCTCGCAAATTGATGATGAGGTCTCCCCATCAATTTGGGGGAGGCTGTTGAGATAGTTCGCTCATTGTAAAAAGGGCCAAAGGCCCACGTAAATGCATGGCCATGGTTAATGATGATTGGACCATGCTATTAGGGTTTCTCGGCTAGGGTTAGTGAAGGAGTTGTCCGTGGACGTGTATATATATGTACTTTGAGAGGTCTTGGCCGACCAACACAATAAGAGAAGTATCGATCTTGCCCGTGGACTAGTCTTAATCACAACGATCAAAGAAACCACACAAATCTGTTTTCGTTTCGTATTTCCGTTACTGTTTAATTCGCCTATGCTAACATCGATATAATAATTAATAAATTCAGGAGTGTAAAAAAATATTCTGGTTGAGATGAGCTTTTTTTTTATAAATGAGGTGGAAGACACATCACCACTAAATGCTGACTCATGGATGAAATTAATATTTGACCGTCAATTTTAACGGTCAACTCAAACTTAGAGCCAAATCTATTCATTGATTTGAAAAATTGACAATAAATATCTTATTGAAAAATTCGGACCAAAACTGACACTTTCACCAAATTTCGGGCCAAACCGACTACTAACCATTTGAAAAATGAAGCCTGATACGGGATAAATTTAAAAAAATCAGTGTAACAGATTACAGATCCCTAACTAATATATTAAATATAAACCGTCGCCCTAATTAACTCTTACCCAGGTCCCGACAGTAGGAAAGTTGAACAGTCACCCGTCTCTCTCCCCCTTCCAGCTGATCTTTTGCTCACTGTTGCACCACCACGTTCCATTTTCCCCTCCTCCTCCCTTATATTCTTCCAGAACGGTTCTCCCCAAAGCTAGATTCAGCTAGCAGAACCGGCAGGCGGCAGCATTGTGATGGAGACTAAGAAAGTGCAATGGCAGATTCTGGAGATCACCAAGTGGGAAGAAGGAACCCTCAAGTCTGAGAGATTCGTCGCCGGCGATTGCGAATGGTATGGATTTGTTGGCCGAGCGAGCCGGCAGTCAGGTTATCTTTAATTTTTAGGGTTTACGAGGAGTTAGTGGTATATATTCATATATAGTTCTTGCCCCCTGTTCTGACCACAGGATCATTGTTGCCAAGTTAAAGAACGTTTGCGGTGAAGATTATCTCTCTCTATTTCTGCGTTGTTGTACCGATAAGGGAGCAAGGGACTACGGTTGTCGAGACATTTTCGCCGATTACAATTGTCGAGACATTTTCGCCGATTACAGCTTCATCGTCGTCAACCGATTGTGGGGAGCCAAATCATCATTAATCGAAGGTTGGATAGTTTATTTCATCAGTTTGTGGTGTTTCTTGCTTAATCATAATTTGACTTATAGTTAACTCACGTCCCACAGGTGGGAAACGCCATTTTAGAGTAGGTGGGAAAGGCTGGGGATTCAAATCTTTGATTCGACTGGGAGATCTTCTCAAGCCCCTGAAAGGGTTCCTTGCGAATGATGATATCCTTATTCGAGCTCATGTTTCTACAGTTAAAGTAATGAGTCAGTCACCCCAGCCACTGCGTTATTTTTCTCACCACAGCACAAGTTAGAATGTATATGCGTTTAAATTCGTCGATTAATAAGTTAGTTTTGCACGGACATGCTTTGCTGCAGCAAGAATCGACATGGTTGTCTGATCTTGATGATAGAACCCGGGAGGAATACACGCCTAGAACTCATCATCAGGCAGGAGCAGCAGCAGCGGATTCTGATACAACTGAAGAAACGGACATTGGTTCTGAGGCACCATTAATTCGAGCTCATGTTTCTAAAGTAATGACTCACTCCTGGCAATACGTACTATCTTTTCCCTCACAGCACAAGTTGGAATGTATATGCTTTTAAATTAGTTGATTAATAAGTTAGTACATGTAGGGACATGCTTTGCTGCAGGAAGAATCGACATGGTTGTCTGATTTTGAGGATAGAACCCAGGAGGAAGACACACCTGGAACTCATCATCAGGCAGGAGCAGCAGCAGCAGCAGCAGCAGCGGATTCTGATACAACTGAAGAAACGGACATTAATTCTGAAGCATCTGCTGATCATCAAGAAGAAGAGGAAGAAGCATCCGATTCTGACACATCTGAAGAAACGGACATGAATTCTGATGCACCTGCTGATCACCAAGAAGAAGAGGAAGAAGCATCAGATTCTGACACATCTGAAGAAACGCACATGAATTCTGATGCACCTGCTGATCACCAAGAAGAAGAGGAAGAAGCATCGGATTCTGTCACGGATGAAGAAACGGACATGAATTCTGATGCACCTGCTGATCACCATCAACAACCTAATGGCGTCATAGCTGGATCCATCGCGGAACCAATGAATGAGAGGCTCTCCTCCGGACGCAGAATTGATTGTGTAGCTCATCAGGATCCTGAAAGGCTTCAGGCTACCACTTTATCAGGTCAAGAGGTACCATTAAGATTATTGCTGGACACAAAGTTACTGCATGCTTTCTTAATTATCAGTTAGCAGGTACGAGATGGTTAATGTCATATTTGCAAGGCCAAATCTTTGATGTACACCATCCAATATAGCAATTTGGATAAAGGATTCTTCGTTTGCAGAATATACCATTTCTTGCTGCGGGACTCTGAAAAAGGGTGTGGTGTATGTGCATATATGCTTGTTGAATATATGTAGTTTAGGAGCAAGATTTCGCTTTAGTTTCACTCAAGAGTAAGGTCAAAAGACTCAATAATTCACTCTAATCTAGTTTACCAATATCTGTACAAAAACTTTATTATATACTTATTATGCAACAAAGAAACCTATTTCCTTTCTATAAATAGAATACTTTCCTATTTAAAATACTGTATATTAAAAAAAAACTACTAAGAATCATGACTTGCGACTCGAGAGAAACTAATAAAATGAGCCAAAATTTGGTCCATAACTGCATCTCAGGGATTATCTATGGCTGGCACCTGTGGATTGATCAAGCAAATTGCGTAGGAGTGGACCAAGTGTAGCTTAAATTTAGAGGTTAACCGGATCTCTGTGTTGCACTAATCATGCTTTGCTTGCAGGAGCAGCCTACTGATCAGCCTGATGGTGCCAACAACCCTCCAACGAAAGAGTCCCTTCAAGAACAGAGAAATGAAGCTGTTGAACAACCAGCAGCTACGGTTTTGGATTCAGCTACCGAAGGGCCTCCATTATCGAGTCAGGTAATGATACGCAACACTTTTGAAACCCTTCCAAATGGGAATATAATCAGGGGAAGTGACCCAGCCGGCTAGCAATCTTGAAACTACTAACTTCAGGTTGGTGGCTTCTCCCATTTCTTCAGCTCGCCGGGCATGTTAATATTACTGAAATTAATGATCAGAGCTCCCAGCCCCGCTCAATAACAAGTTTGCTATCAGCTTCAAGAAACTTGAGAGCAGAACTTTCAGCCGCGACCAGCAATATGAAATGCGCTGCAGACGATTCTTCTGCCTCACTAGTGCAACAGCAACGAGAAAAAATGATTGCCTACTTGAACATGCCGCTCGTAGAGATCCACAAAACCGATTCGTTCGAAGATGTCGAGGAGACTGCTCTCCTATTTGCTGATCCAAGTGATGAGACAACTGTGAAGGGCTTAATTTTGGAACTCAAACGCGGCGTATCTGGCTCCATGCATGTCATCGAAACTTCCCATGCCACTGAAGCTTCTGTGGCACAGAGGAATGAGGACGTGGAAGCGAGGCTTGTTCACAGGCAGAAGCAGTTGAGCTGCTTGGAGGGTGAATTTTTCCGACTTGGGGAAGAAGGAAAGAAGCTTGATGCTGAAATCCAGCAATTGATTGCTCGTAAGATCAGGGTTGAGGATCAGACGAAGACCACCGTTGGTGCATTGAGGAAGACGAGGGAGAGAGCTTGCAAGGAATTGGAAGAGGCCAAGGAGCAAAGCAACAAACGGAAGCGGGCTTCTGAGAATCGGTTGGTTGCCGAGGAGAATCTTGCTCAGTTCAATACAAGTTGGAAGCTTTTGAAGTCTACGTTGGGATTGTGAAGTAGAGAAGAGACTCTTGACTGTAGATGAAGTACTTGACAAGTTGGGCGGAGCTTTTTGACTTGGACCCTGGGAGATATGATGCCTTGAGTTAGAAGTAGATAGTTTTGCTAATCAACGTACTTAGCTTGGAAGTAGATTGGGGTCCTGGTATCTGACTTAATTAACTTAGTTTTGCTAATCAACGTACTAATTTATTCCGAGCTTTGAAACGTGTTTTTGTTGCCATACAGCTACGGGTCCAAAACCGGACCAATTTGTTATCATCATTGGCTCATTATCCGTTGTATTCAAGTAATCAGAAATAGATTAAGCTGTGTTATTTTTCTCTTTAAGCACAACTATGCTCGTGAGATTGCAAAATAACTCATCACTCTCAGAAATTTTTTCCACTTTTGTGGATATCTAAATGAACCATATTCGACTTTGTGGAGCATGTTTGGGGTTATTTTTTTTTTATATATAGAAATCTGGGTAAACTTTCATTAATCGGTTAAAGCGGTTACATTGTCCTACTGCAACTGACTAACAAGATAAATAGGTGGTCGGTCCAACCTGTCATTGCATGCGCTATAATATGAGCAGCGTTATTCCCCTCTCTGCAAATATGTTTCCACGTCCCTGCTCCAGTAGCCATCACATAACGCATATTTGGGGTTACTGACTACTGCTTCATTGATTTTCGGTCGTTGGATTAATACGATGACAAAAATTAAATGATGTTTTTCTAGTTCTCTATTTTTTTTAATTGACTTGTATCATTTACATTTTAAGAATATGAAACTGTATCGGAGGTTGTATAAGAAAAGTGAGTGGTACGGTATTTTGTTCTAAATAGCATAGTTAGTAAATACTCCGTTTAATACACGTATATGTACCCGTACGTACTTTATCCGTTTAAAACTTCCGTATCCGTATTTTTGTCAAGCCGTTTCATTTTTGTCCGTTCATTTGGTGGCTCCCGTACTAAACACGTATAAAATCCGTATAACACGTTTTATATCCGTATTTAATGAATTAAATTGTTAACTTTACTATTATTTATATATTTATTTATTTTAAAAAATAATTTATTTTATATATTTATGACTATTAACGTACTATTAAACGTAACATTAGCTTAGAGATGAAGTAAAATACCCGTACGTATTACATCCGTAACTTTCCCGTACCGTATTTTACTAACTATGCTAAATAGTAGTTTAACCGTGGTTTAACCATTTCATATAATCAAAATTGCCTACATCGGCATCCGGTACCCGACATTTCCAATCTGACCTGGCGGTAGGGTACGGTTTCTCAAACATTGTATTATTTTACAAGGATCGTAGTGCACTGTTGTTGGGGTCGTAGTGCACTATCGTAGGGATATATGGCTCCTGGACTATGCTTAATAAGACGTGATATGAGCATGGACAACGAAGGAGAGGTTCCAAAATACATTCGACTCTAAAGGAGTCAAATCTACGGTAGAGAATAGATTATGGAGCGAAAGGCACGAGACTTATTGGAGAGGATATAAAGGAAGCTCGGTTGGAAGAATGAATATAGACTCACCAATAATAATTATTTGGTTAAATACATTTGTATATCCAAAACTTTCACGGTTGTGCCAATAATATCCAAATTTCCAGAAATACCACTCATATCCAATTCCGTCACATTCTTTAACGGTGTTAACGTTAAGTCTGACTGGACAAACGGTGGTGCATACCTGGCGAACGCTTATTTCCCAATTCCTCTGTAATTATCCACGTGGATTGCTGATTAATTTAATTTAGGGTTAATATTTTCGTATGGCCTGAACTTTGACCAAAATAAACATCCTGGCCAATCTTTTCGATCTATAACATCCTGGCCCGAACTATACACCAAAATAAACAATTTAGCCAAACACGATGTTTGACCGTTAACTTGGACGGTCAAACGCGTTGACTAACGGTCAACGCGCCACGTCACTGTCACGTCACTGCCAAGTCAGAAGATCTGATAAATATTTAATTTTTTTCGTTTTTTATTTTTGGTTTAACTAAGGTATTAGATGATTTTTTTAATTTATAATAATTTAAAATTAGGGAATGTGTGGAAATTGTGAATTATTTTAAATATTTTATGCTGACTTGGCAGTGACATGGCGCTTTGACTAACGGTCAACGTGTTTGACCGTCCAAGTTAACGGTAAAAATCGGATCTGGCCAAATTATTTATTTTGGTGTATAGTTCGGGCCAGGATGTTATAGATCGAAAAGATTGGCCAGGATGTTTATTTTGGTCAAAGTTCAGCCATACGAAAATATTAACCCTTTAATTTAAAAAATAAACAATAAAAATTTCAAACCCCCTCATTTACCTCACCAGGGGTGGGCATTCGGTCGGTTCGGTTCAAACCAAACCAAAAAGATGAATACCGATACCCATATGTCTGTCAAAGTTCAAACTGATCCCGAACCGAATTATATTACTCGATTCGGAATGGCAACCCGACAATCCGATATTCGCCCCCGCTCTCTCTATTTCTTCATCTCGCTAACAAAATTCAGCCCATTAAACCTAATTTATTTTTCTTCCTCCTCTTTCTTCTACTTCCCTCTACCGCGCAACATCAGAGAATCGGCTCTATCAGTCACCGATGGATGCCCCGTCGAGTCCTTTCTTCTTCCATTCGACGTCACGTCGTGCTCAGTTCTTCCGCCTCCGAGGTCGCGCTCCTCTCCTCATCGTCGCCTCGTCGGGTCGGCCTCTCCCACCGCATTCCTTTCACTCCCGCTGCTTGCATGCCGTTCTCGCCCTTCTAAAATCAAGAATCGGCAGCAAAACCAACCCCGATGGCCGGATTTGATCTCCTTCCACCGCCTGAAAACCAGCTTCCCCACTATCGACGAGCACTCTGCCAGACCCCTTCATCCCATACGACGACACCGACTTTGAGGAAAGTCAAAGGTAAGTTTTTTTTTGGGTTGCATGCCTACTTTAAAGATATGATTTCACTAGAAAAGTTACCGACTAAAGGAAGATCCCTATCAAAAGGGTCAGGGTTCATCAAATCTCTAATCAAGTATCAGTTTATTTTTCCCCAATCTTTGATTTTGCAGGGTTGGCGCTTTGGTGGCTGCTATGTGTGAGATAGTGGGGGTGGGAGTCTAAGAGACGAGTGCCAAAAGAGTAAAGAAACAAAGGGTGGGCTTAGGGTTTTGGGGGATAGGGTTGTTTAAGTGTTTGGGCTTTTGGGATGTAGCCTGTAGAGTTTGTTGGGATGAAGCATGTGGGGGATTTGGGAGTGTATTATAGCAGAATTTGATTTCTCAGTTCGGCGTTTAGAATTCGGGTTCGGTTGTGGCAACCCTGTTTTCCGAAATAACCCTTTTCCCTTTCCGATTTCCGAAATGAATAACACTAATTCGGTTTGGCTTGAGATCAATTCGGCTCAGTTCGGATCGGGTTTACCGAACCGGATGCCCACCCCTAGACCTCTCCCCTCGTTCGACCTAGCTTTCTACCCTTCTTTTTTTGCTCGACGAACCCCCTAACCCTTCGCCTGCGGAGGAGGACGAAGGCGACAGAGAACGATCTTCCATCGCCGACGATCGATCTGTCTGCAACGACAGTCGTCGTATCCCCTGATTTGCCTCCATCCTTCATCGATCTACCCCCCTCTTCTAGTCCCAATTCACCTCCCGTCATCGATCTACCCTTCTCGCCCACCTTCCTCGACTAAGACCAACACCGATTTTGGTGACTTATACAATTCGCAATGAGCTTAGGCTGACTCCTCCCAAGCTTCCTTTCCATTGAAGACCTCAAAATCGAACCCTGGAAACGTGAGGAAACGTGGGGGATTTCTGAGCACCCTCGTCTATAGCCACTGGCGAGTCTCGCTTTTGAATTGGTAGTTGTGGGTGTTGATTTTGGCTGGAAAGTTCTTATAGAAGTGTCTTTCTCTTCCTTTTTTGGTTGGTAACGAGGTGTAAAGACAGAAAGAACAAGGGGACCACTCGATTGAATTCCTCACCGATTTGCCCCTGAATCTGACGTTGAGTAGCTGAATCTTCTGGATAGAATTGTTATTACCTTTGGTTGCAAAAACCCTAGAATTGAATAATGTAAACCGTTGTTGTTTTCGAGTTGTTTGTTAGTTAGTGATTAAAGAATGGTTACCTTAAGCTTTTGATGGGGATAATGGTGATTAAAAAACTGATTAAAGGTATTTACAGATGGCTGATTCATGGGATGAGGCTTTTGGAGAGTATGATCCAGACGCTGTTCATGAGAATCCAGATGCTTCCTTCGCTGCACATGATGGTGTCGAGGAATCTGTTGCTCGAGATATATACCATGTTTACGATTCAGAAGATGCAGACACATCTGATGACGAGTACCATGAAGCAATGGCAAATTTGAGAGCCTATGGGGAGAGTAAGAAAAGGAAGGTGAATGCACGTATTGATACCATGGAGAGGAGGTCGGACAACTTGATGTTTTTTAGGAGGACGAATCCTCTGTAGCTGTGGTCCGCCACTCTGTAGCTGTTGGGGCCGGGTTGAGATGGGTTAGGGTTGAGAAATCAAGAAGAGAGGCCAAATGCAAGGACAAGAACGGCAAATGGAAGGTATATGCTAGCTGGTTCAGGCGTAATCAGAGCTTCATGGTGAGGAAAACCGGGCTGCCACATTCTTGTGCAAGACAACTGCATGTCAACCAAGTAACTGCCCACTGGATTGCAAAGGATATGCTCGAGAGATTCAGAATTAATCCTGTTGGGGGCATACAAGAGCCCGAGAGTGGAGCCCAGAAAGTTTAAGTGGGCCTAAAGTGCGGGCCTGACAAGTTGAAAGCACAGCCCAAAATGGGCCTGAGGCTGTAACCTAGGCAGTGGGTCCGGGCATGACGTAAAGCGCATGACGACAAAAGTGGCAACGGCCGGGAGCGTACGGAGGGGACAGAACGTGGGGCCATGCGCCTTGGTGTCAAGACCCGATGTCAGAATGTCGGGGCGCATGGCA